TATATAGTTAAGTCTTCCCTCAGCCCTTAACCTCTTGAGCCTTTTACTACCTTGATGTTTATGGATATAACAGAAGTACAGTAGCTTTTGCCAAAAGGATTTTATATTGTTAATTATCAGCTAGCTACTTTAGAAGGCCCTTTCAATAACAGAGACTTGAAGCATTTCCTAAGTTCCAGTTTCTTTCACTTTTCTTTTTAAATTTCTTCTGTAACCCTTTACATTTTCCCTGTAACCTCTTAAGGTTTGATGAAATGTTTTAGGGCACATGACCATTGCCAAGTTTAACAAGCTTTGTGAGACCTGATGTCAAGGAATGTTGGTTGCAAAGACCTTCGTTCTTTCCATGAAATCTGTATGGGTCAGCAGATGGTCCCCTTTGCTGTGAAGATGGACTCACTACCTGTGATGGCCTTTTTTCATTCCTAGGGCTTAAACTTCTCTCAGGGACTACTTTTGTTTTACTTATGTTAGCATTTTGTATGGAAGTTAATGGGGGTCTGTTCTGTTGAACTCTTGATTATGGTCTAGGCCCTTACCAGATGGATGGAGTTAATCGTGCAGGCTCTCATTAGACTGTGGTCCTGCTGCTGCTTTAACCACGTGGCCTGATTTACCTTTGAGATGGGGATGTCTTCTTTATACTGATTGTGGTAAAGATTAAATACTTCCTCAGCTCTCAGTAACTGTAATAAGGATGGCACTTCCTACATGTTGGCTATTAATGTTGTTAGTACTACTTAAAAAATGACTAGATAACAAAGGCTGCTTGCTCTGAAGTGTATTCAGGTGACTTTACTCTTAATATGTATTATGTATGTAGGTCTGTCACTTTGAGAAGGATCTTCATTTAATGGTGGGCCTAGCTTCTTAGGACTGCCCAGCTGATAGATTTCTCATCCGGACAGTGCTTCTCTCTTGTCTGTGGTGGAAGTCTGCTGGGCTTGGATTGATCTAGGGGGAAGCACTTACACATCTTCTTCAGAGGAGATACCAAAGTGCTCACCTTGGCAGCTCACGGTAAATTTATGTTCTTAACGCTAGCTGTTCCTACTTTTGCAGCAGCTTCCAGAGTTCACTCTAGCTGCCTGTGGCCTTATTAATGCGGCTTCTTTGGCTTCCAGGGGGACAGTTTGTGGTCCAGAATGAGGAGAGAAACAAATACAACTTGACATTTAATCATTTTCTCTTATCTGTCCCAAGGGAGCATTTAAGGGGATGCCTTGGTTAAAATAGAATTTATTTCTTCAGAGAAGTATCCTGATGGAAGAATGCACTAGATAGGTCAGAGGCAGAAGGTGAGAAAGGAAGGAGGAATTGTGAGCAGTCCAGTACCCCCTTCCAGCCAAACACCCTGAGGGGCACACCCAGTTTAAGCTTAAGGATGTCAGTGAACAAGATGGAGAAACTTTTGTGTAGGGAGCATAAAATTTTGAGACAGAAATAAATAATAAAGTCACATAGTATATAACTTCTTAGAACCTTTCCATGCTTCTTGTTTCTCTCATATTAAAAGCAGAGTTCTTATAGTGGCTTAAAATAAGGCCCCTAGGATCTACTGCCAGCCCCAGCACCTTACATTCTGACCTAATTGTCAGTTACTGTCCCTTTATTCCTGCTGGTTGTCATCTGCTTCTGACATGCTAGACATATTCCTTTGGTAAGGCTTTGTACTCTGACTGAAATGTTCTTCTAGATAAATTCTTTTTGCTAGCTAACTTTCTTTATTCTGTCTAAATGTGGCCTTCTCAGTAAGTCTTGGTCAACCTACTTATATTATAGTCTCTCCCACCCTCTGTACATTACTTTTAAAATAACAATAAAAATTTAAAAAGTTATAATTTCTTTTTTTTAATTTAATTTAATTTTTTTTGTGAACATATTGTACAGAGGGCTTACAATTACATGGGCAGGATAATGCATACATTTCTTACCAAGCATTGCAGCCTCCTCCTTTGTTTACCCTTCACATCCCTTCCCTACCTCCCCCCCACCCCCAATCCGCGCCCCCCCCCCAACCAACGTTGTAAAGCTCATTTTCGACATGACCTTGTACTTCTCATTGTTGCAACAGGTCCACCTGTATCCTTAAACGACTTGTTTTTCCCCATCTCCTCCACAAGTTATACTGTATACTGTGGGGGAGGGACATACAAAGCAACAAAGAGATAATCTTATAAATGCGTTAGAAACAAATGCATGAAATAAAAAAGCATTAAAATACATATCTAAGGGTTCATTTTCCTAACATCACATTATCTGACCTTTTGCGCTTGACTCATACATATACTAGATGTTGCAAATAAGGGAAACCATGGGACCTATGTTTCTTTGGGCCTGGCTTACTTCACTTAATATAATTTTTTCCAAGTTAAAAAGTTATAATTTCTTATCTTCCCTACAATCCTGAACTCTTATCTTTTTTCATAGTATTTACCAATCTTTAACATATATCTATTTTTAAAAGTAAGCTTAATGGAGGCAGAGATCTTCTCTTAGTTTACTGAATTAAGTACTTAGAAGAGTAGTAGGCACATAGTAGTAGTGGATCATAGTTGATCGGCATACATGAACGAATAAAATGGAAGAGTACTATAGGAAAATTAAACAAGGTTTGGATTTGTTTCCTGTGGCTGCTGTTATAAATTAACAAAAACTTAGTGCTTAGGAAAAGAAAAAAGCCAGAAATGTATTCACTTACAGTTTTGCTGGCCAGAAGTCCAAATTGAAGATGCCAGCAGTACCTTGCTCCCTCCAAAGGCTCAGGGAAGAATCTATTCCTTGCCTTTTCCAGCATGTAGTGCCTCCAGTCACTGCTTCTATAGTCATGTTACCTTTTCTTCTTCTATCTCAACCCTACCTCTCTAAGAACATCTCTATTTGTAAATAGGACTCACCTGAGTTCTCCATAATAAATACCTTCTCTCAAGATCCTAACTAAGTCACACCTTTTGGCATATAAGGTAATATTTGTTCTTTTGCCATATAAAATAATATTCACAGATTCAAGGATTAGAACATGAATGTGTATTTTGGGGGTCATCCCTTGCCTACTGCAAAGAAAGGAATGTTTTGATCAGAGCGGGAACATTGAAGGGAATCTAGAAGGCTACTCATTGTTTTTCTCATTTTTACTGACATTTTTATATGGGATCACACTATTGCTTTCAAGTTAATTACACACAAAGACACACTCAGATTTCCATGTGCTGGCCCCCACAGTTGTTAACACATTGACTTAGTTTTGCTTTGTATCTTCTCCTTGTCCTTATAAGGATGCAAGCATTAGAGGTAAGCTCAAAATCTCTTACCTCCATTTCTGATTTTCCATTTCCCTTGTTACCTATCTGGAAGTAATCACAATCAATCATATTTAATATATGGAGTTGTGTGTGTTAGAGCTAAAAATGTCTTTCAGAAATGGTTTGTATAAGTGCTATATATACATATTTGTACAATATAACATGCTATAGTGTGCATTTTTGGCCAGTTCAAATGGATACATCTATAGTCATTCATTTTACTGTAACTCTTTGAGACAGTTTTTCTCTCTATCCTGGCTTCAGAGTATGCAAATTCCAGAAAAGCCCTGATTTGCCTAGCTTGGTCCCATGTCATCACTAGGACTGTAAAAGTCTGGAGCTCATGCCTTCCCTGTAGCCAAAGGGTCAAGATACTCTGCATCTCTCCCCAGAGTCATATGTGTTTGTTTAAGGAAAATGAATCTGGAGTATAAAAAAATCAGATATTTGGGCTGGAAAGGTGGCTCAGTGGTTCGATACCTCAGCACCACATAAGCAGAAAAGGCTGAAAGTGGTGCTTTGGCTCTAGTGGTGGAGCACTAGCCTTGAGCTGAAGAGCTGAGAGACAGTGCCCAGGCCTAGTGTTCAGGCTCCACAACCCACCAAAATCAATCAATCAATCAATTAATCAATCAATCAGATTTCTGCTTGTACTGCTTCAAGTTTGGGCCTATGCATTATATCCTCTGGAAAGCCTTTTCTGATCTGGTTGTGTTTGGGCCCTTGTACTTTATTATTTGTCATATAATATCTTTATTGCCTTCTTTTCTTGATATATAGGGTAGAGACACTGTGTCTGTCTCTTGTTTCACTATTGAGTTTCAGGAATACAGAGCCTGAAATACCATTAGATGCTTAGCACATTTTTTTCTTGCAGGTCCTGGGGCTTGTATTCTGGGCCTGGGAGCTGTCCCTGAGCTGCTTTTGCTCAAGGCAAGTGCTCTACCACAGTGCCACTTCTGGCTTTTTTGAGTAGTTTATTGGAGATAAGAGTCTCACAGAGCTTCCTACCCAGGCTGGCTTCGAACCATTATCTTCAGATCTCAGCCTTCTGAGTAGCTAGGATTACAGGTATGAGCCACCAGCACCTGGCTCAGCACATATTGAATCAGAAAGGCATTGGATATTTGAATAAATATTTAAGTGTGAAATAATAGTAGAATGAAATTATAAGCATCTTACTGAAACTGAGAGAACCTGAGAATTTTATAGCAGGTAGACAATACAATCTAATTACGTGATACAGTGTAATGATTATTTATTATTATGTGTAGAAGAACATCAATAACACGTTGTGTTCTTTTTCATCAGTATATTAACTTTTTCAAAAGTGTCCATTTAGAGCTTAGTACCTGTCCCTCAACTCTGTATTTCCTCTAAATTCTTTATTAGTTTACTCATAATTTACTTGCACAGTTATTTTCAGGAATAAAATCTCCTACATTGAAGGAGACTGTTATAATAGTCTGTGCTCTTTAGAACTCACCTCCTATGCTAGGTTACTGTATGAATCCTCCAACAGGAACACTTTTCTGATTTTATCATGTGATAAGTGAACTCTCTCTTGGCTGGTATTTGGACTAACTGTTATTCATATATTATGTCTGTCTTCTCAAATGGCATTATCTTCTTTCTATCCATAGAGAGTATAAGCTAAATGGATGATATTCAAATTAGATATATTTTTTCTCCTTTTAGGTTGCATCCCAGCGTATAAGCTCAGTGGATCTTTCATGTTGTAGCCTGGAACATCTGCCTGCCAATCTCTTCTATAGCCAAGACCTCACTCATCTCAATTTAAAACAAAACTTTCTAAGGCAAAATCCCAGCCTCCCAGCTGCCAGAGGTCTAGGTGAACTGCAAAGGTGAGTCTGAATGAATGTTTGTATTCTGAGGAAGGGGTATGGATTGAGTGCTGGCGTTACCTCTTGAATATTCAGATGGAAAAAACTAATGTAAGAACTTTCTCTCTTAGAGGACAGATAAATAGGACATTATTTGTCAGTTCTCCTTCTGAAAAGTTTCCTAAAGTCCCTGCCATTGGAATTAAAGGTTGTGGTTACTTACTAACTGGCTAGATTTATATAATAACAATGCTCTTTAAACCACTTTTATTCCTTCAACTAGCTATAAATACATCAGAGGAAAGTTAGTAACATCTGATGTGCTTCTTCTAGCTTCATGAATTTGTTCATGTTAAATTATTTCTTTTGAAATTTACATAAGATTAGGTTTTTCACATCAAGTAAATAGAGTCTGAGTCTTTGTAAGTAGACAGAAAGGATGAGCATGTCTGTAAAGCAAGTTTAAGAGCTTTCCTTTTTGGAGCAGTGATCAGTCTTGATTCTGTGCTAAATTAAATACCAGTAGTTATGCTTTAATTGCAAGTATATGAGACCATAATTTGCAAAAGCCTGTTTTAAATGAATAAGCACTAGTTTATTTTCTTTGACTCAATTGAGATGGTTAGACATAACTTAACTGTATGGTAATTAACCATTGTGATTATTTTGTTTATGGTTTTTAACATCCCAGAAAGAATAACTGAGTAAGTGCTTATTATAAAGTTTGTGTACAAATCATTGCATCTTGTAAAATCTGTACATATAACTGAAAATGAGGATATTTTAATTGTGTTTTCAGATAATTTTGAACATTCCTTGATACTACACCAGAATTTTTAACAAGTGGTTGTATCTTAAATGTTAGGTGCAATATGGCAAAAACCCAATCAGTGACATGTTGAAATACTTTAAGATTCACTAGGTTATTTGCACTTTGAGTGAATGGTTACTTGCACATCATCTTATTAAGTATTGGTTGTTTGGGAAATTCTGGTTTATTATATAATACAGATGTTCTAAATGTTAACACATTTCATTATTCAGTTTCAAGAATTCACATTTGTTAGTATCAGTGCTGACCTTACCAGAAAAGTACTGGGAAATTGTCAAGCTTGCTGCAGAAACAAGTTTTCTAAAATTTTAATTTTCACTTGAAAGCTTGAAGACTCATTGACAACAAATACCATCAGTTGTTTTTCTTGAAAGCAACCATCTTGCTTCATTTTTGAGAAAATATCTGCCAAATACCCAGGACTTAATAACTAATTTGTCAGCTGTTCTCTCAAGTAAAAATGATATTTTAAGAAGATAGTGACTCCAATCATCATTTATATTTTTGTTGAGATAACCATCATAATTGAATATACATCACAAATGCTTTTTTGTGCTTCTGGATTTATTGCTCCCCAAGTTTAAAAAGATAGGTATTTAACAGTGGACTTGTAATAGAAATAACTTTTTGAGGCCATCAAGGACATTTTGTTTTCTTTTCTTTTTGGTTCTGAGAATTGTACTTAAGGTTTCTTACTTGCTATTGCTAGGCAAGAGACCACTTGAGCCACACTCCTACTTCGTTTGCTTTGAGTTTGTTTTCATCTTATTGTCTTGGCTGGGCTGTTACAGACATCCTCCTGTTTCTGCCCCCTGAGTAGCTAGATTTTTTTAAAAGTAGAACTGGCATTATACATTTTTTGAAGTATTTTTTTTTGTTTTGGTCGGTCATGGGGATCGAAATCTGAGCTTGGGTGCTGTCCTCAGCTCTTCAGCTCAAGCCTACTGCTCTACCACTTGAGCCACTTCTGGCCTTTTCTGCTTATGTGGTGCTGAGGAATCGAACCCAGGGCCTCATGCATGCAAGGCAAGCATTCTACCACTGAGCCACCTTCCCAGCCCCTGAAGGATGTTTTTACAGTGACAATGACAACTGGGCAGTATGGTGCTACTGTGAAACAATTATGTAGACAGCAGATACCCCAGAAAGAACACTGTGCTTGTACAGTTCCTATTTGCTTCTAACTGATGTTTCCTGTGAAAGCAGACTATTGCAGAAAGCAAACTATTGCAGAATTACTGAGCTTCAGTTTTTATAATACTCTATATATTGATGTTAATGTTCATACTGGCATTTCTACAAAAAGTTAATAACAACTTTTTTTTTAAACTAAAAGGGAAGATCATTATTTTGAAGTATTGTGTGTCAGCACTGTAGACCCATGCAGTTCTATTACAGAACATCAAGAACTTTTGACCATACCACCAAATCTCATTGTCTCAGAACAGTAAGGGGCATGGAATTCATCTGAGCTAATGTTTACTTTTTAGGTCTATGGGGAATGTTAACTGCTAACTCCAGGTTAGTGGCTATCTTCTGGAGAGAAAGGCAGGGGGCTGGCATTAGACAGTGATTAGAATAGGATTTCAATTGTGTCTGTAATGTTTATTTCTTTAAAAAGAAAAAAAACTTGAGAAGCAAATATGGTAAAAATGTTAATATTTGAAAAAAAGTAGATATTTGAATGATTATTATTGCTTTTTATATTTTTGTATTTGAGCATATCATAATTTCCAAATTAAAATCTAAAGCAGATTTAAATGTTTCTTATCATGTGGACAAATATGCACTCAAAAAGACAGTGTTTATGGAATATTTTTCAAGACAAGAAGGTATTTGGTTATGGACCTGACTTCAGTAGGATTCAGGTCCTGCCTAGTCTCTTGGATGTTTCAGGGTCACCTAACTGCATTCTCCGTTGGACCATCTGTCATCTCTGAATCTGTATGTTTTCCCTCTACTGCCCACCCTGTACCACATGGACTGTGTTTCCACTGTCACAGTAACAGCCTGAATGCTTTGGAAACTGATTATTTTGCTGTTTTTCCCCAATTCAGTTTAGTCTCTATATTGATGTCGTCTTTTTTTTTTTTTTTTTTTGAAAATTTCTTGGTTTTATTTTAAAAGGTTTAGATTTTTCCCACTAAAGTAATATCGTAAGTAGATTTTTAAAAATCTTAGTAAACAATAAGGTTTATAATAAGAAATAGTTGTTGAAAATCGTTTAAATAGAGTTACAGGTGGACCCATTGCAACAATGAGACGTACAAGTCGTTATGTCAAAAACAAACTTTACAACTTTGGTGGTGGGGGGAGGAAGGTTGGGTGGAGGGTGCGGGAGGATGGGATGGGAAGGGGAAACAAAAGAGGAGGCTACAATGCTTGATAAGAAATGTACTCATTATCTTGCCCATGTAATTGTAACCCCTCTGTACAGTATTTTCACAATAAAATAATTAAAAAAATAAAGAACTAATAAAAATACATATATTCTATATTCAGAAAAAAAAAGAAATAGTTGTTGAAAGCTCCATTTCCCCTCCTTCCAAGCCCTGGTCTCCTGTGAAGCCATTTAAAAAAAAATTGTCAAGGTGATGTACAGAGGAGTTACAGTTACATAAGTGATTACATTTCTCGTCTAACTTACTAAACATTCCCTCATTTTTCTCTCTCTTTCCCTCCCCCCCAATCTCACCCCTCCCACGTTGTACAGATCATTTCCAACATACTGTCTTGTGAGTATCGCTGTTGCATAGGCTCCCCCTTTGTCCTTTGTCTCACCATTTTGTTGTTCCCCTTCCCTTCCCTAGGTCAGATAATTATATATACAATACTAGGGTACCAAAATCGAGCGCCACTCTTGAGTCTTTTGGCTTGCTCCTCTGTTTTCATCTTCCTGATTTTTATGTTTATTCTTCTGTGCTTTGATTTTTCATCTATAGGCATTATATATTGACACATTGCCATAGGTAATAAGGATTTAGCTTTTGTGTTCCTTGTACCCTTACTGAACAACTTGTTGAAATCCTCACCTTCTCAGTATATAGGTATCAAGTTTTAGTAGTGCCAGAATTCACTGTTTCCATTAGTATGAGCAGGGGACTGTTATTCATGGTGATTATTCTCTTCCTCTGCTGGTTTGATGGTAGCCTTTCTTTTACTTGTGTGTGTGTGTGTGTGTGTGTGTGTGTGTGTGTGTGTGTATATACACACACACACATTTATATATAGTTACCAATATATCTACATATATACACATATATACATACATACATATATACACACATACACAATTTTCTATTTGTAAGCTTTCTGACAGAACCTCATCATTGATTTCAACAGCATTTTCTTGGCAACAGTTACCTTTCTGAAGTCAATATAGGTATTTGCTTCTTAGCCTTCTACATGGCAAAGAAATTTTTGTGCATCTTTTCCCTTGGATGTGTCAATTTTACTTGAAAGGAATCCTTTGGTCTTCTGAGGCATTGATTGCATGCCAAGATTCAGGGAACTGAGTAGGGAAACAGCTGGAATCTTGACGTTTAGTGTGCAGATTTTAACTTAATCTCTGTTTTCAGAAGTATTTTAAAAATTATGCCTCATGCTTCTGAGTTAAGGATTCTCCTCCTTAGATAACCTTTTGAAAACCTTTTTTTTAATATAACAAAAAATAGAATAGTTATAAATAGTATTGTGCACCTTGGGGGATTTCCATCAACTGCACCCATCTATACAACCAATGCCCATGCTGAGAAATAGAGTATTACCAGCACCCTAGAAGCTCTCATTCTGCCTTTCTTGTTACCCAAAGATGATCATTGCCCTGGCTTCTATTACCATAAATTGGTTTTTCCTGTCTGATGTGCTATAAGTGTGTCACATAATATGTGTGTGGGTCCGGCCTTTTTCATTTGTTTCTTTGTGAAAAGAACATAGCAAGTAATATTTATTAGGTTATGCTTTATAGTGTGTGATAGGAGCCATGTTTTAGTTTAAGATGGAAGGGTTTTAAGTTTTTAATAAACGGGTGTATTTTGTTCTTTCTTTTGCCCTCTGGGAAAGGTAGGCTTGAGGGAATAGCATGTGAGGGCTCAGGAACTGCTTGTCTTCAGAAAAATCTAGACTTTTAGACTTTAGATTACTTCGTTTTTTTTTTTTATTTTTAATTTTAATTTTTTGTGAACATACT